ATCAAGGCCGAGTCCTCCACGTCCCTCTCCCCTTCCGCCTCCCTCCTCTTCCCCCTCCCCCTTTCGCTCCCCCCGATGCTCAGATCCGGCATGTCCTCGTCCCACATGTCTTCTCCCCGCACCCAACTTGGCCTCCGCATGCCCCCCTCCGACCTCCCTCCGTCCATCCCGTCCTCCTCATCATGATCTACTTCCGTAGCCCTCCTCTCCACGGTCGACAAGGGCGGCGGCGCCCGCACTTCCAACCCCAGCACCCTCGCGAAGGCCTGACGCGCCACCTCCATGGCTACCTCCACTCCCTCCCTCCCTTCTTCCCTCCCGCCCGCCATCCCTCCCCTGGCCTCGTTCAACAGAGCTAGGCCCACGTCCACACCCGCCAACAGGTTCCGCATCGTCCCGTTCACTTTCTCGTTCGCCAGTTCCACCTCCGCCAAATCCGCCTCCGCACGGAGTTTTTTGGCCATGGCCCGCAGTCGCAACGCCTCCAGCATGGCTTTTTGTCCCTCCCTGCCCCCTGGTCCGACGTCCCCCGCCTTCTGAAGGGCGCCCCGTTCGGGCGCCGTTCCGATCCGTCCATCCACCTTGAGTTTTTCCAACACCACGGGCGGGAGGGGTCGGCCCAGCACACCCAGCTCCCGAAATGCCCGGTTTTGCATGGCTTCCACCTCGAGGAGGAGCTGGTTCAAGTCTTGGTAGGAAGGGGAGGAAGAGGGGGAGGAGGAGGAGGAAAAGGAAGGAGAGGGTCGCTTCGGGTCGGACGACGGCGGTGGCGTCGCGTTAAGAGTGAAAAGTCCGGGCGCACCGCCCAAGAAGGAGGATGAGGAGGGAAAGAAAGATGCATGCAGACGTTTCCCGGGAGAAGGGAAAACAAAGCCGCTAATGTTCTGCGGGAATACCAACAAGAGGAGGAGGGCAAGGGTCAGCGGGACCCGCAGGGTTATTTTTCTCGCAGCAGGTGGTAGACCGTGCAAGCCTGGACGTCTCCGGCTTCTTCTGCCGTCCAAGTACGCTGCGGCCATCGTGGTCGCCGTCTCTTTGCTCCTGCGGGGCTGGCGGCTTCAATTTTACAGCGACGAGGGAGAGGTGCAGAGTTGTGATGCTACTGCCTGCCGCTCTGTCTTCGGTGAACACGCCAGAAGAAATTGGGCTCCGGCGCTTTCAGCCGTTGGAACGTACGGTCCACCTAATACTGTGAATGGCCCACCAGGAACGTGATGGCCAGCGGAAGAAGACAGCGGTCAGAGCGTCAGGAGACAACCTTGCGCCGGCTCCCACCGAATCCCACTCTAACCTCTTGAGAGCGTCGTAGCCCACTTGTCGGGGAACAACACACGTACTTAGGAAGACAAGACTGCACAAAAAGAAGCAGACGCCCTTCCGGCCAAATGAGTGCCCCCTGTGATAGAAAAAAAGAGGAAGGCAGGGGTGGGGAGGCGAAGAGCCTTTAGAAAGCGCCTGTTGTGGAGTCACCATGCTGCGAGAAAATCTCTGCGCGTCTAAAAACACCACGTTCGACTCATCGTCGCCACACAACGTCATGAATCACCTACGCAACACAGCCTGTGCCGCGGTCCGACCCAGTAACGACGCTTTTTGGCAGAGTTATGGTGTTGTTGTTGTCCTTATCGTTGCTGTGGTTTTTCCTCCCTTCGCGGATTTGGAAGCTCTATGCTTAGAGCCGGTGGTCTCATACCCAAACATATGTCCAACGTCTGGTCCGCGACCAACGTCGTTCACCCACCCTAGTCTCTGAAACACATTGAAGAATGTACGGACGGGGTAGTGGTGCGCAAGCGCGGGGTGTGTGGGGTTGTGGATGCTCTTCGGGGCAGTGGGTGAAAGTAGGGGTCACGGGGGATGGTGGAGGGCGGAAGGAGCCGGTGGTGGTGAAGAAGAGCCCTCCTTAGCGGGTTTCGGGCGTCCTAATTCGCACACACGTGAAGAGGAGCTGGGAATAGAGTGCATGTGGCGGAATCACGCAGGCTTCTTGACCACGTCGTCGATCTGCAACATTTTACATGCCTTGTTGATTTACCCTTCTGTCTCCTCCCTCCCCTCCCCCTCCCTCTTTTTCCATTGTGGCGCGCCCCCAGAAGACACCGCCACAACGATGAGTCGTCCCGGTGGAAAACTTTGGCAAGGCTCAGATGATGATTCCAGTGCTTCCGAAGCAGAGGCCGTTGTAGAACTGGGCGCGGCGGAGAAGCGCCAGCAAAAACGTTGGGAGGTTGATAGTGACTCGGGTACGCGATGGGAAGGGAGGGGATGGAGGCGCACAAAGCGTGAGGAACAAGCAAGCTTGTCACGCTTCCCCCTGATTCGGACATACATATGGGCGTGCTGATGTGATGTTATCCATGAGGCTTCGTCCTTCTCATGTATAATTTTATATATGGAATCTCATTATATGATGGGGAAGTCACCACGACCTGGCTGCCTGGCACCTCCTTTCTCTATCCCCATTGGAGGAAAGCGTTTCCTTAACTTGCACTCACCCGTCCCTACGGTTCCTTACATGGCACACTGCCGTACACAGAGTCGGAGGATGAAGTGCGCGTGGTACGCTCCGCGAAGGATAAGGCGTGGGATGAGATGCGGGAGAAGGTAGGTAGGGAGGGAGGGAGGGAGGGAGGGAGGGAGGGAGGGAGGGAAGGAGGGGACTGGCGAAGGGGATGAGTAGAAGGACAGTGAGGGAAAAGGAGGCAGCGGGGGGAGTGGAGTGTGACAATTGCCCATGGCACCGTGAGCAAGAAAGACAGGAAGGCCGTCCGGAGATTGAGAGGCCGGGAGGGAGGAAAGGAGGGAGGAAGGGAAGGGCAACAGCAAAAAAAAGAAGTTTATCTCAACTGCCTCGGCCTACTCCCCTGCCCTGTTCAGGTGGGCAAGATCCAGAACGCCCTCAAAATCAACGACTGGACTTTAGTCGAGAACGAGTTCGACGACTTGAACAAGCGGGTGGAGAGCAAACGGTCGGTCTCCTGCCCGCCCTCCCTCCCTCCCTCCCTCCCTCCCTTTGTCTTTGTCTCACCCTTCTTTCCTCCCTGCATCCCGCCCGCGTCCCGTTTGTCCGGCGTGTCCGTTCCTATGGCCTTTCAAGATTTCGCGCCAAAATGGCCTCTTAAGGTTTCGCGCCAAAATTGCCTCTTCAGGTCTCGCGGACCGTCTTCCTTTCCTTCCCGTCGTTCCTGCCACAGCACCTGATAACCTTCCTCCTTGCTTCCCTCCCTCCCTTTCCCCCTCTCAGCGCCCTCTTTGGTACTGGCAACTATCCCCGGTTTTACATCAAGCTGTGCGTGACCATGGAGGACAAGCTGGCAGACCTCCGGGAGAAGGTAGGAAGGAAGGGAGGGAGGGAGGGAGGGAGGGCGGGAGACCGACCGTTTGCGGGAGGGTTAAGGGTTAGGGATCGCTGTGAGTGTCTACATGTGGATGACGGTGAGGAGGAAGGAGGAGGGTGTGCCGAGCCGTAAAGGAGCGGTTCATGACATGGGACAAGGCGTCTTTGTCCTGTTCCCCTCCCCTGGTCCTCGTCCCCTCCCTCCCTTCATCCCTCCGTTCCCCCCTCCCGTCCTCCCTCTCGACCTGAACGGGACGGGACGGTTTTAAAATGTCTTCCAGCAAGCAAGCTTTTTTGGCAGACGCATGGTATCAACGCCTCC